GTTGACGCAGGTATAGTACACAGGTAAGTTGGGGAACTAGGGATCGAGCCCTGGGATCTGTTTCAGCTACCACGAATTGGTGAATACCGTTTCAAGCCTCACTAAGGTCCTACCACTGTACCAACTGGCCTAGCTCAGTTGGTACACCCCTGAACTGTTGAAAGACAGACCTGAGCTCGAACTCCACTGGACGTAGATGAGTAAAATATTACAGTTATTCTGAATTAGCTCGGGCTGGTCAGTTTGATGATGATGATATCTCAAGGCCGTCGCCCTTTTATCAAAAAGGAAGGAAAGGAAAAGTAAAAGGAAAAAAAAAAAAAAAGGTCCTACCACTGAACAAGGTAGAACAGTTAGCAAAACCCTTACTGATTACAGAGTGACAGCAACCATGAGACACCATGTCAGCACAGGAAAGTCCTGATATGTTGGCCAGTCTGCCAGCTGCTTAGGTGACCATAATCTTGAAGGAAGAAAATATATATACAAGGTAACGTCGAAGTTATCAAAATCAGTGAGCTCAGATGAAAGCCAAATCTCTGGTACAAAGTGCATGCAGACCTGCTGTTCTAGGAGTCTTCGGTTTATATTGTTTTGAGCTTGTAAATTACCATGCCGCTGTATCGTATTGGACTTCATCTTTGTCATCTAACTAAATGGGGACCGCCATTTGCTGTTATTGCATGTGGCAGGGTTTGGGGTCCCCTTTCAACCTCTGTCTGACAGGTTAACAGTGTATGCGAGTATCATCAAGGAGTGTAGGTTAGTATGATGGAGCAAAGCAGCTTGTGGCATATTGTCAGCGAAACATTTGACGAGTCTGTGGTTTAGGGTTTGTTGCTGGTGGTCTGTTATGCTTGGGTGTGGTCTGGTTGTTTTTACAATCTCATACACATGTACTAAGTATTTCGGCTGTGATGTCCTCCACTGGGTAGCTTATTTGTCCTCACTACCGATGACTGGAACTGCCTGTGGTCTGTTTCTTGTTAACAATCAAGCAGATCATCAATTCAGTACTCAGCGGTAGAGATGTCTTCGTGATCATGCCGTCTGGAGGAGGCAAAAGCTTGTGCTATCAATTACCAGCAGTGTTGCGACCAGGCGTGTCTCTTGTCATCAGCCCTCTGCTTTCACTCATTCAGGACCAGGTTTGTCATATTGGATCATTAAGCTACATGTACACTTCAAGAACCAGCCACCTTTGTGGCATGCATCTCACAAATGGAGTGAAAATAAGAGCAACAGACCTTCCATGCTCGTCCAAGATAGCATCAGGCATGCACGCCTATGAAGCATGCTTCACGATGGGCCCAGAGGAGGAGGAGGAGGAGGAGGAAGAGGAGGAGGAGGAGGAGGAGGAGGAGGAGGAGGAGGAGGAGAAGAAAGAATAAGAAGCGAGAGGCAGATGGGCCCAGAGGAGGAGGGAGAGGGCGAGGAGGAGGAGGAGAAGAAGAAAGAATAAGAAGAGAGAGGCAGAAGCAGCAGCAGCAGCAAAAAAAGAAGAATGAAGAAGAAGAAGAAGAAGAAGAAGAAGAAGAAGAAGAAGAAGAAGAAGAAGAAGAAGATATATGGAGGAAACTCCGTGCCCTCTGCTCTCGATCATGCACCTCCTCAAAGCAAGCCTGCGATTGTCATCCACAGATAGCATCAGATGCGTTGGTGCATGAAACATCGTTCTCCATGGACTGAGGAAAGCATAGCTCATGTGAGGAGGTTGCCTCTAACTCAGAAGATAAAAAACGAAGCAAGAAAATGTGACAGAAAGTTGGGAACTCAAAATCCTTCTTTTCTCCAACATCCAACCTTCTCACTGCTAGACCACTCATCAATCCTCTATTATAAGATGCACTTGCCGTTATGATTCCCAGGGACCATATGAAGCATAGTGCAAATGGATTTCCCACAAATTCCCAGAGGTTTATGTGATCTCCTGCAGTCTACACTGTCGCCCAAAACCTTTCGCGCATCTCCACAATTTCAGCAAAATCCCGGTTTCTTAATGTTGTCCAGAGTGTCCTCTAGCTTTGGTTCAACTACATCTAGGTCTCTGCAGTGCTCCCCTTGGCAGCACCAGTCATAGTGGCCTCCCATTATGGCCAAGCAAGAGTGACGGCTGAAGAAGACAAAGCGCCGCTCAGTGCTGCCTGTCTTAGGCAAGCGTGGCAAGGGTGAATGGCGAATGAGTCGAGCAGCCTGGTGGTCCTCCACGATGTTGAAGGAGGCTTCTGGATGGGTGTAAGCAGCGAAGAATGTGGTTGGCATTTTCTTGGGGCTTTCCCAGAAAGGGAAATTGGTCAAAGTGTTAGTGGTCTCCTGTCTGGGAAGGTGGTGGTACCAATTGAAGCTTCGGTGGACTTGGACTGTGCATGTGGCTGCTGGTCATGGGCTGATTGATCTGAACGGCGCTCTGGAATACCTTGTGTTGGGTCAAAAGATGTAGAGAATTGTAAACAAATCCTTGGATTTTGGAAAATAATTTTCGTGTGCCGTAGTCTGCAACTGTCAAGCACACCGTTGCATCTCCAGCCCCTTTCCAAATTAAAATCGCAAAGACGTCCCGAAGTCTAGCCTATCTCTGGTCTCTGCTGGGACATAGTCGAGTGAAGTAGCAAGCACACGGCAAGGAAATGTATGTACAAGTATGTCCTACTTTTCTTACAGGGTTGTGGAGAACAGGGACACTAACTAAGTACCATGAGTGGGTCATGGTACCCACTCATGGTGCCTCTGACCGCCGGGTTCTTGTTTGTGAAAGGGCTGTTTTCCTGCCTTATGTTTGCTGTGGCACCGGTCTGTCCGGGAGGGATAGCATGAGCAGTATCCCCTTCACTCCACCATTCTTCTGTGAGGCTTCAGCTCTTCTTCACTGGTCTTTTTTTTCAGCTGTAGTCCTTTCTGTTTTCCCCCTGAACTGTATCTATCAGGATTTGAACTCAGAATCTGTTAATGAACAGTTACACGTGTGTGCTACTTTTCAGCAACAGGAGCGTAACACTTCACAATTTGCTCTTGATGACGCATCATGAATGCATAGGTGATCGCTGAACTTTACTAAATGTGCCTTCCATGGGAGGCATTAGCTATGGACGTCTGGATTATGGTTGTGATGTGGCAAGTATAGGGAACTCTGCGGATTGGTGAGCGCATGTGGTGGGTGGTTAGCTCGTAGGGGGAAAGGAATGCTAGAGGGGGGGTGCGCACTGTTGCTTCTACCGATGGAATACAAAGACAATGTAGTGAGTTTTGATGGTTTGCAAAGTGAAATGTTTTGCAGGTTATGGGACTTAAGGCTATGGGGATTTCTGCCAGCATGTTAACGTCCACGACACCAAAAGAAGAAGAGAAAGCTATCTTCCTAGCCCTGGAAAAAGGGGAGGGAAATCTTCGACTTTT